CCCCACACTCACCACCCCCATCTCCAAATGCGGCAGCCCCTGCTCGTCGGGGTCGTCCGTCGGCGGAACGTGCAGCGCCCACGTCGGTCGCTGCGGCTCCCTCGGCGTGGTGGGGGAGGTGGGATGTAACGTCGGTGCGGGGGTCGTACTGGCAGCAGGGGGAGCAGCGAACATCCCCGCCGCCGGCATCGCGATCAACACCGCGACCCGCACGCGCGGCTGCGCCGGCCCCGACTCGGGTTCTATCTTCTCCGTGGCCAGCGCCGTGCCTGCAGTGGCAGGGAGATTCGTTGCCGAAGCAGGCGCAGAGAGGTTGACGCGCGATGCGTTGCGCGAACTTGAGTTGCTGGTGGCGGTGGCGGAGGGAGGAGGTGGGGCGAGGGTAGATGTGGGCGCGGTGGTGGGTGGGGAGGGGGTGTATGAGGCGGCGAAGGGCTGGATTGGAGGGAGGAGGTTAGTGGGGCTTTATAGGAGCCGGAAGTAGAAAGAAGGGAGGGAGGGAAGAAAAAAGAAATGAGACACGGAGGAGACGGAGAAAGATAAATTGAAGAAGCTGCGGGCGGCTTGAGGGAGAAGCACCAACACCGTGCTCAATGTCATGTCGTCTTTCACGGCTCCGACGGCGAAACGACGATGGATATGCAGTGCGACATTTCCACGTCTGCGACTGCGGTGTGTCGGCGCGTGCTCCGTTCCCGTGGCTCCATCCGCCCCAGCATCTCGTCGACCTCGCACTGCTGGAGACACAAAGAGAACAACAACGCCCGCATCAGCGGCGCTGACGTTAGGTTAAGGCGGGCGTATATAGGTCGCCCGCGGCCGCGTGGATAACGAGTACTACTTAGGGCCACGCCTTTCGGACGCACCCCTCGCTACTGCTGCGCGTCGAGTCGACCAAAGCCAGTGCGCGGACGAAGACGATGAAGCACCCGCACTCGTCCGCATCCCACAACCGACAACCTTTACGCCGTCAACGGAGACACTGATACACCCCATCCGTCGGGAAAGACTCGAAGACGCTCCACCACGGCTACCGGTGCCGTCGAAGTCCGCACACAAGAGGACGACCCGCAAGGCCACTCCACCCAGCTTTGGACGTCATCTCGACGCGTACGAACCAGGCCTCCAACCGCACTACGGGGAGTACTACGGGGAGCGACGCCTCTCGCGGATCCCAAGCACCTTCCCACGTCGACCAGAACGCCGTCACTCGGATACAGGACCACGACCATGACCACCCTCCGTGCGCCGCGGGGTAAGATGACGAAGCCCACGAGGCGGCGCCGTCTTCCGCGTCAAACAAAACGCTAATACACCTCCGTGCGTTTGAAACCGCCCCCGTCTAGGCTGGAAAACACATCCACACCCATCTGAGGCGAGGGAAACAACGATGCACACGGACGGACTCGATCACCTCCGCCGCAGCAACGACGCTCGCCGCAGCTGTCGTGAGTACGCGCGCACACCAATGGGCTTCGTCTACCGACCGCATCGACTGCCCCCTCCCGCTCTACAATAAAGAGGGACCGCGGTCCAACGAAGCGCCTCGGGACGAGCATCCGCCCACCACGTCCCCGCCGACGGGACTGCACCCGACGGGGAGAAGTACGCGCAGGACAGCGACACGCCACCTTGAAGTAAACTCCCGCGCAGCGTACTTGCACGTCCGAGCATGTGCCTAGCATCCGCGTCCGCGACCAGGCCCGACACACGCGGCCACCGCGCGACGTACACGACGCGTCCCGTTATGGGTGGTAACAGGCTACGCACCCGTGTACGTCCGGCGATGCACACCACCGCGAGCACCGCACGCATGCACATCCCCTTCCCCCCGTCCCCAAGCCAAAAACCCCCCTCAAAACCCCCGTCCCCGTCCCCCAAAAACCACGAAACCACGAAAAAACAAAACATAAAGCAAACGCAAAAAACGCACCATAATCCCGTCCCACTCGTCTTTCCCTTCTCCCGTGGCACCCTCTGCAGTCGTATTACTTGGGAGGGGCGGCGGCGCGAGGAAGGCGTCCCACAGGCGGGGTTTCTTGCGGAGGTCGACGCGGAGGCGGGGGGCTGGAAGCAAGAAGGGAGGGGTTAGTATGGGTCTGAGGAGGGGGGAGGAGAATGAAAAAGCGGGAGCAAGTAGAGTACGCGCGCACGCGAAAGACGAAGTACGAAGCACGTCCATCCGCGTTGAGTGGATAGTGGGTGATAAGCGCATGGCTAGTACTAAATGCAAGTGCGTGTGGGATGGGCACGACATACTCGCGCGCCGCGATGGGCGCAGTGACAAGGGTAGAAACGTAGAGGAAGAACCAGAAAAAAACAAGACAAAATGGGCACCGCGGATGGACATCAAAGATAGGGTCGCCGACGCAGACAACGCACGCGCCGGGGAGAACGATGGAGGGCTGCCCGTACCAGGCGTCGAGCCCCCCGGACCAACGTAAGCCCCTTCCGTCCCTCTCCTTCAGCACGGCGCAAACCCGCGAATACGGCCGCGCAAACACCAGGGACCCGGCACCCCCCGCACACGTCCGTACACATCCCGTCCGCACGAGGGCGAACCTCGCTCTGCACGAGCTGTACTGGAAGCCCAACGGCGGACAAACACCGAGGTGCGTCCCGCTTCTATCCATCGTCTTCGACGTCCAAAGCGCCCCGAGTCGAAACGCCCCATCCCACGCCCACATCCCCGTACGTCGTAGACGCCCACGTCCGCACAACGGACAGCAGAAATCGGTGCCATCCTTCATCCGCGCCCATGCCCGCCGGCGAGTAGAAACGCCCGTCAATTTCGTGCGCCCTCCTCTCCCGCAGCCAAGCCCGAACCCCGCCCACGATCCATGAAGGAAGCGCGTGCACGATGACCATCCACTCCCCGTCCGCCCACCCGCACCCGTTCGCGCACCACTCTAATCCCCCTTCCCGGGGACGCACGCGGAGTGCCTCCCGCTTGGACCCCAGCGCGAGCTGCACATGCGCAAAGCCGCAAAACAAAAACCCCCAATAAAGCAAAAAAAAACTCACCAGGCGCCACCCACGTTCCATTCGCGATCGCCTCCGCCACCATCCTTCTATGCCTCCTCCTCAACAATAGGGACCGAACGACGATGGCGGCGGAGACGGCGAGGAGGAGGATGAGGGTTGCGAGGAAGGTGTATACTGCGGTGGTGGGAATGGTGGCGGTAGTTTGAGGAACGGGAGGGGGGGAGGGTGGGAGGAACGGTGGCGGGGGGGAGGGGGAAGGAACGGTGGAAAAGGGAAAGAGGGAGGGGAGAGCGGTTGTTTTGAGGTGGAGACGGGTTTACGGAAAGAGCGGATACGGCCGCATGAGAGATGTTAGTTGGAGATGGATGCAGTATAGCATAGCAGATAAGGGGGGACGTCGCGGGTGCGGGCGAGGAGCGATGGACATCGCGTCGAGTAGAGGTGTGCAGCGGTCCGGTGTGTCAGAGGGTTGGTGAGCGGGAGAATAGCACGTCGTCGTAAACCAGTGCGCGTCGTCCAGTCCAAATACGGGTCCAGGCGTCATTGAAGGCGCAGGAGACGGGTCGGTGTGTAGATGGAACGCAACGTCGAGTAGCGTAACATATCGTTCGGCAAAACAAAGGAAAGGAAACAAAAGAAAAAGAAAAAACCCAATCAGTCCCTCACTCAAAATTCAAGAAAAAAAAAACACGACGCACAGTACAATTGCGCACTACTCTGAATCCCATTCCCTCCCCCGCCCCCACCACTGCTATTATCACCGGTCCCGTTGCCGGGGAGTGCGGTTGCGGTGACGCCGGGGTCGGTGGAGGTGGATCCGGTTTGGGGGAAGCTGCTGAACGAGGGGATGGATTGCGACGAGGAGGTGCTGGAGGCGGAGGTGGGTGCAGAGGAGGAGCGGGACGAGCGTGAGGTGGTGGAGCTGGCCATGGTGTCGTGAGGTTGGTGTCGTCACTTGTTGTCGTCGTGTGCACTCGAGTACGAAAACCAGAACCAGAACGCGGCTAGGGTAGCGTCGGTGGCGGCCTAGCGCAGAGTGCAGAGCAGAAAGCACAAAGGCAACGACCGCAAAAAGATGCTTGCTCGAATGAACAAAAGACAGCGGGTGTCGTCAAGCCCTTGTGTTGTTCTTCCTATTCTTGTCCTTGTCCGTTGTGTTGCCGCAGATCCGTGCGTCGTCGTCGGTGGCAGCGACAACGCTGAAGAGGCGGAGTGGGTGGGTAAACAGAGTAAGCGAACGATGACAAGTGACGCTATTCGGCGATCGGCGTTACCGCTTTGGGATGTTTGTTCAATTTTGGATGGCAGCGTGGGTGCTATCTTCTGGGCGCGGTTAGTTCCAGTCGCGGTCCCGTCGCGGTCCAAGCTTCGGGTTGTCTTCAAGGGACTGAACGATGGTATTCTCTGGACGTTATCCAATTTTTTTTTCTGCATGTTTCAAGTTGGGGTGTAGTTTCGGGGAAAACCAGTTGGTTGAACTTGCTTTCAACTTGCTTCACAGGATACTCAAACCTCCCGCACATCTTTCATCCATTCAACACCCATCCATCCATCCATCTCTGTGCCCACAAGATGGATGCGCTCGGGCATCACGGGTTTCAACTCAAACTATATATAAAGCGGATCCTGAGTTCAAACTCCGTGATTGAATTCACACACACAAACCCATGCCCGAACCCTACCACAAGCAGTATGATGTAATGTCTGTAACTGATGGGTTGGGTTGAATTAATGCTGAAGTCCTTGTTCGAATCAAGGTACTGCTCTGAACTCTACTGAGCTGTGTTTTTCCTCACAGCTCGACTCAATTTCTTGTGGGTCATGAGCCCTGGGACAGGAGAAGGAAAGCAGTATGGTGTAATGCCGCACACAGGGCTCCTTTGTACGCTTTCAAATATGTTGCCTCGAGGTCCTTGTTCGAACCAAGGTACTGCTCTTCAATGTATCCGCATCGACCCTCTTTTTTTCCTTTACAATTCCACTCAATTGCTTGCGTAAATTTGAGACTTGAGAAAAGCAGTATGGTGTAATGCTGCACACAGGATTCTACTGAGGGGTCATCTGATCAGGTTAATTCCGAGGTCCTTGTTCGAATCAAGGTACTGCGCTGGTTTTTTTTTTACCTCACAACTTGACTCAATTTCTTGTAAGTGTAGGAGCATCGTCATAAGAAAGGAAAGCAGTATGGTATAATGTCCGCACACAGGATTCCACTAGGTGTATTCCCAGGACTTTTAATCTCGAGGTCCTTGTTCGAATCAAGGTACTACTCTTCTGTTGTTGGCCCTACTTTTTTCCTCCGCAAAGCTATACAATTTCTTATGCATCTATGCCGTGGAACAAGGGAAGAAAAAACAGTATGGTGCAAGGCTGCACACTGGGCCCGCTTGCAATGTTTGCTGCGATGCTGCCCTGCGGTCCTTGTTCGAATCAAGGTACTGCTCTGCCTGCTCGTTCAGCAATTTTTAGTCCTTTGCAAGGCTACTCGATTTCTTGCTCATATATTTAAGACTTGAATAGGGTAATCAAAGCAGTATGGTGTAAGGCTGCATATGGGACCTTCTTACGAAGAAATCATTTGTCGTATCTGGAATCTCGAGGTCCTTGTTCGAATCAAGGTACTGTTCTGCTGCCATAACACTGGTACCTCTTTTGCCGCGGGACACCACAAACTTTATCCAAGAAAGTTAATCCCGAGGCCCTTGTTCGAACCAAGGTGCTGCTCTTCTCAAGTTCTGTTTCGCATGCTCCCAATTCTTTTGCTGCGGGACACCACAAATTCGCAGCGGTTGCGAGGGAGTGAATTGGGTAAGGAAAACAGTGTGGTGTAATTCTGCACACGGGACCTTGGGTGTATTCCTCCTTACCTGGAATCCCGAAGTTCTTGTTCGAACCAAGGTACTGCTCTGCCTGTAGCGAGCTCTTTTCTTCCTCGCAACTTGACTCAGTTTCTTGCGTGTTTATGAGCCCTGCAATATACAGGGAAGGCAGTATGGTTTAATGGCGCACACAAAATTTCAATTCTCCATTCCAAGAAAGTTAATCCTGAACTGTACTGCTCTTTAGCTCTTTGTGTTCTTTTTTGTAGGCAAAGCTACTTAATTTGTTGGAGCCTGATGAGCCCTGGAACAAGAAAAAGAAAGCAGTATGGTGTAACGTCTGCACACGGGATTCCACTAGGCGGACACCGACACAGTGAATCCCGAGGCCCTTGCTCGAATCAAGGTGCTGCTCTTCTGCTGTCACACATCACTCTTTTGCTACGGGACACCATGAATCATACAGATGTTTGCGAGGGAGTAAGTTGGGTAAGGAAAGTAGTATGGTGTAATATCCGCACACAGGGTTCCCCTAAGATGATTTGGAAGAAAATTAATCCCGAGGTCCTTGTTCGAATCAAGGTACTGCTCTGCGCGAACTCCAACCGGGTTTTTTTCTTCTTCACAACTTGACTCAATTTCTTTGAGCCATGGAATAAATGCAGTATGGTGTAATACAGCATACGGGATTCCACTTGTGTTTTCCCAACAAACTTAATCCCGAGGTCCTTGTTCGAACCAAGGTACTGCTCTTTGCACCCACCACTCTGTTTTTCACCTCATAACCCAATTTCTTGTGGCTTCCTGAGCCTGAGAATAGGGCAAGGAAAGCACTATGGTGTACTGCTGCACACGGGATTCCACTAGGAAAATTGCAAGAAAGTCAGTTCTGAGGTCCTTGTTCCAACCAAGGTACTGCTCTTCTGAAGTTCTGTTTCAAAACCTCACACCTCTTTCCCGGCCGGACACCACAAATTGTGCAGAGGTTGGCGAAGGAGTAAATTGGGTAGGAAAGCAGTATGGTGTAACTCTGCACACGGGACCTTCTTACGAAAATTGGTTCGTTGTATCTGGAATTCCGGGGTCCTTGTTCGAATTAACGTACTGCTATTTCAAGACCTCACACCTCTTTTGCTGTGGGACACCACAAATTTTGCAGAGGTTGCGAGGGAGTAAATTGTGTAAGGAAAGTAGTATGGTGTAATGCCGCATACGGGGCTCCTTTGGGGCATTGTGAAACCAACATATAATCCTAAACATTAATTTTATAAAGAGTGTGATTGTACCTCGGCACATTGTTGTTGACCTGCAGCGGTACTCTTCCTTAGTTACCAAATCAGGTGAAGCTGTCTACACATGACAGCGGAGCTGTTCTGGTTCCGAGTTGGATGTCAACCTCGTGTGACGTGGGACTGCACGGATGCACTCTTCTTTTGGAACTCCAGCGTTCCGAGTGCTGAACAAATTGATTACCTCTGACCATTTTATGTGTGGAAGTCAATGGGTACAGTTTCAGGAGTTTTAAGTTTTCACATATTTTTCTGAAATTTAATCGCACACTGAAGTCAATGACAAAAATCTCCTTGCTCCTTTGACATTCATCGTGTGAAAGTGCAGGCTGTTCTCCACGAGGCACTCAGGGTGACCACTCTTGTCTCCCACCTCCAGGTCCACTGTGAAGGAATAACATCCTCCTCACCCAGTCTGTGGGTGGCTCTTTCTGCTATCTAATCTTCCCTTTGGCTCACATGGGGTTATGGTGTTCCACCTACAGAAAATCGGTGATATAACAATCCATTTTGACCATGTATAGCCAGGGCAATGAAGTCAAGACCTTTGGTGCCAGAGTCTCTATTAGTGGTGCGTAGGAAACTTAACTAGGATGTCACCATCATGATATCTTGTCCTCAGGGGGCCACGGCGGCTCGGGTGGAGGGGCCTACGGCATTGGTGGCAAGGGGGGTAAAGGAGAGGGTCCCCAAGTGACAATGTATGTTGGTTAAGTGCCCCCATTCCTTTTCCCAAAGTCCTTTCTCAACAATGGCAGTGTGAACCAGGGTCAAGGGTTAATCAAATTTTTGAGGACGATATTTGAAGCTAACTTCTGTCCAGACTCGAAGAAGTTCTGTACAAGTGGTTGGAATCTCCTCCTACTACAAAGGACAGACAGCACGAACTGCAGAAACTTCGTCATGAAGTCACTGGGAGCTGGTTCCTAGGTAATAACCAATTCATCAAATGGAAGACCACAGCCAGCTCTTTATGGATCAAAGGCATCTGTGAGTCAATTTCATTGTGTTCCAATCTCATGTTTAATCATTCATTGCAGCTGGTACTGGAAAGAGTGTACTAAGGTGATTTGTATTGCTACTACATAATACTAATCTGCCACTGACCATTGCAACAGCTCAACAGTGATTGAAAATATCATTGTGGGCTGTCCAGACCAGACCGCAGTTGCATATTTCTATTTTGATTTTCGGAATGAGAGGCAGCACATGGACCTCATGTTACGTTCTATTGTCTGGCAGCTCTCTGGACGGTCACCTTCACCCTATAGCTCTCTTCATCAGCTATACAAAACACTGGGAAATGGAACTATACAGCCACAGCATTTACATCTTCAAGGACTGCTCAAGAATTTACTTTCAGAGTTGGACCAGACATATATTGTCATTGATGGGCTTGATGAATGCAATAAAACCGACCGGAAGCCTCTTATTGAGTTCATTCTCAGCCTATGCCATCCCGCCAAAAATTTACCACATCTCCTGTTTACTAGTCAACCTCTTGAGGAATTCCAAACAGCATTCAAGGATGCAATATTCATGGAGCTTGGTTCCTGGGTCTCAAATGATGACATTAGGTCCTTTGTTGGCAGTGAAGTTGCCAGGCTTGGAAATTGGGCTAGTGATGACAATTATGCAAAGAATGTCACAGAGCAAATTGTGCAGAAGAGCCATGGAATGTTAGTCCTCTCATTGTGTTGTAATTTGTGTTTAAGCTAACTTGCATATCCAGGTTTCGCATGGCTGCATGTCTCCTCATTGAACTGCGTGATTGTGATTTCAGAGAGGATGTGGAGGAGACCCTCACAGGCCTTCCAGCTGATCTGTTTGGGATTTACAGCCGTTTCCTGACCCGGGCAACAAATATTCCCAGAAGAACAGTTTTTATCCAAGCAATCTTCCGGTGGCTTGTGTTCTCTGCCAGAAAACTTACATCAGATGAGCTGGCAGATGCTCTCGCATTCCCCTTAGCTGGTCCCCAGTTTGACTTTTCTGACCCGGCTAAATCCATTTATGACCCGAGTAGACGTGGGGGCAACTCTGATATCTTCAAGCTGTTGGAGGGGCTGATTGTAATCAAAAACAATGACTGGCATGAGTTGTCAAACAGTGACTGGGATGAACAGTCAATCAATAACGGGGATGAACTGTTAATTACTCTTGCACATTCCTCTGTTAAGGATTATGTCCTTTCCCCACAATTCCGAGGGGAATTTGGCGCAATCATTGATCTTACAATGGACATCTCCCATAAATTTATCACCCAGACTTGTGTCCGCTATCTGCTCCTTTTTGCAGACCCCAAACATTCAATGACTGAAGAGACACTCCCACACTACCCGATCTCATTGTATGCAGCAGAATATTGGTTCTACCATCTAGAGCATTGCAATGAACAGGGCCAGAGGGCACTACTTCCATTGACCATGTATCTCCTAAAGGATGGAAGCAGCCAGCAAGCGGTTTGGTACCAATTGCGTCCCTTGCGTTATTATGAGGCCCGTGCTTGGGATGAAAAAATACCACCAGCAGTGTGTATATGTGCTGAAATTGGTTACGCAAAGGGAGTACACTCTCTGCTTGTTGAACACAATACATCTCTCGACTTAGTCAACAGATATGGGCAGACTGCACTGCATCTTGCATTGAGAAATAGTCACCTCGACATCGTCAGGTTACTCATTGAACACAATGCACCAGTCGACTTAGCTGACAGGGATGGCCGGACTGCACTGCATCTTACATTGACCCGTGGTCACCTCGACATCGCAAGGCTACTCATCGAACACAATGCACCTGTTCACTTAGCCAACAAATATGGGGAGACTGTACTGCATCTTGCATTGACCCATGGTCACCTCAGTATTGCGAGGCTGCTCATTGAACACAGCGCACCTGTCAACTTTGCCGATGAAGATGGCGAGACTGCACTGCATCTTGCATCGAGGAATGGTCAACTCGACATTGCGAGGCTGCTCATCGAACACAGCACACCTGTCGACTTAGCCCGCAAATATGGTGAGACTGCGCTGCATCTTGCATCAATCCATGGTCACCTCGACATTGCAAGGCTGCTCATCGAACACAATGCACCTGTTGACTTAGCCGACAAAGATGGCCAGACTGCACTGCATCTTGCATCGACCCATGGTCACCTTGAGATTGTGAGGCTACTCATCGAACACAACACACCTGTTGACTTGGCTGATGAAGATGGCTGGACTGCACTGCATTTTGCATCGAGGAATGGTCACCTCAACATCGTGAGGCTGCTCATCCAACACAATGTACCTGTTCATTTGGTCAACAAATATGGGGAGACTGTACTGCATCTTGCATTGACCCATGGTCACCTCAGTATTACAAGGCTGCTCATTGAACACAGCACACCTGTCGACTTAGCCAATGAAGATGGCGAGACTGCACTGCATCTTGCATCGAGGAATGGTCACCTCGACATCGCAAGGCTGCTCATCGAACACAATGCACCTGTTGAGTTAGCTGACAAAGATGGCCAGACTGCACTGCATCTTGCATTGACCCATGGTTGCCTCGACATTGCGAGGCTGCTCATCAAACACAACGCACCTGTTGACTTAGTCGATGAAGATGGCTGGACTGCACTGCATCTTGCATCGAGCAGTGGTCACCTTGACATTGCGAGGCTGCTCATTAATCACAAAGCACCTGTTGACTTAGTCGATGAAGATGGTCAGACTGTGCTGCATCTTGCATCGAGCAGTGGTCATCTTGACATCACAGGGCTGCTCATCAACCACAACACACCTGTTGACTTAGCCAACAAATATGGGGAGACTGCACTGCATCTTGCATCGCGCAATGGTCAACTCGACATTGCAAGGCTGCTCATCAAACACAATGCACCTGTTGACTTAGTCAATGAAGATGGTGAAACTGCGCTGCATCTCGCATCGAGCAATCGTCACTCTGACATTGAGGGGTTGCTCATCGAACACGGTGCAAGCACAACCCTAAGGAGGACAGTGCATGACCACTAGATGATACCATGGGCTCAGTCTCCTAATGAACACTTCTTGATAGAACTAGAACTTGGATATGTGACTGTCTTTAGACGCAGGAAGTACACAGCAATGTGAATTTCTGT